ATTGCATATTTTTCCTATTTTAATTTTTGTTTTGAAAGTATGGTAAAAAACTGGTAAAATGTACCAACAATCACATTTAAAAAATATACACTTTTTGATATACCATTAAAAAAAACAGGTAGCCCATCTGAATTAGGATTTAGGCTATCCATCTAATAGTAGCCAACCAAAATCTTATTAACAGTAGAAGTTAAATCTTACTGTAGACTTCAAATCTGGGTACTGTCTTACGTTTTAAAATCACAAAGGGAGTTTGGTCCCATCAGGCTAACGTGACAGTCACGACTCATGCAGCTGTAAGGTTTTCTTTTTCTTTAGTTTTTACTCGCGATCTTTACAACACGCATTACATTACGTATTTCATGGCACACTGCATATTTGGCACCACCTATTGTTGTGGGTGTATTATTGACATGTCAAAGTCTAGACCCTGAATATAAGAAGACCGCGTTTTTTCGGATGTATTTCCAAGAAAAAAAACATTGTCTTATATTCGGGTCAATACGGTATACAGAGGCAAGATGAAAAGAAAAAATACCATCTAAACTTTTCTAAAGATAACAAGTTTCCCTCAGACATACATTCATATAAACTCCTACCCCTAATTGTATCGCGATTTGTTTAGCATCTCAACCGATTTGAATCGTCACATATTTTAATCGATTTTCAACCGGCTCGCGGTTAATCGTTACATCCCTAGTGTGTGTGTGTGTGTATATATATATAAATATATATATATATATATATATATATATATATATATATATAAATATGCACAGTACACATTCTGTAAACCAAAACGTTTATTTTGGATGCGATTAACCGCGATTAATCGTTGGACAACATTGCATTTAAGTTATCGATGCATCTCTTAATGAGAGATTCTCAAAAATCTCACCAAATTAATACAAAATACCCACAAAATTCAAGATATTGTTGCAAAAAAGTAATTGTATGAAATCACTTTATATTATAGCCTAAAATATGATCTAATTAAGCAATATCGCAAGAGCGGTTTTCACAAATTTGATATTGCTTTTATGCAAATATTCAATAAAGAGAAGTTATTTTTTTAAAGCACTGTTCTCATTATTTGTGCATTTGTAATGGTATGCGTGGATGAGTTTTGTTGTTAGTGATTTCAGTTGATTGTAACAGCTCTATATAGTGTCTTATTATTCTAATTGTATTTAATGGTTTAAAAAGCCGAGTTTGAGTAGTGCTGGTCTAGACTCGGTCTCACACAGATCAGCTGGTCTTGACTACAGCTCAGCTCAGCTCTACTCTACTCTGTGTTTGTAGAGTTGTCTCGCTGACGCGGGATTATTATAAACACTGCGCAAAAGTCTCTCTAGACTTTATTTAGTGAGTTAAGTGTGTGTGAAGCATCAGACAGACGCGATGCAGAACGCGGATCCCGCAGGTGAGTGCTCATCATCATAACATCAGCTCATCTCTAATAGTGTTATTATTATAATATCAGTGTGATTGTGACTGACTGACTTTATCCTCACATGCATGACGAGCATCTGAGAGGAGAGCAAGATTATGCATTAATTGCTTCATGAAAACTACTGTTCTGTATTTGTGTTTGTTAATTTCAATAGTAAATTACACATTTATAGATTGATTAAAGTATGGCCGGAAAGTGCAAGTATTCTGTTGCGTCTCAAATGTGTTTAAAACCTGCACGAGTGATGAAGACAAACAAGGAAAAGTAACTTTTGTCTTTTGGTTTAAATAAGGTCACACGATGAAATGCAGTGCAGTTTTATATTTTGGCATGATAGTTTACGAAATACCTCTGTAAATGTTATTTTGCAGTATGAAAGACTTGTCAATTTTAGTTGTATAGCGATTTTTGAATGCAGCTTTACAGGAAATCATGATGTGAATGTTTATAATATCGTAATATTTTCATGCCTTAGGCACATTTATCTGATTGGATAATATAACGGTAATATAATTTATATTTTGCAATGATGGAAACAATCAAGCTGTCAGTAGAACGTGATTTTGAGGGGGTGATTATTAATGTTCTCAATTTTAGCACAAAAACATTATACATTGGTGGCTTGTGTGCTTTCCTTGAAACGTTTTAGATGTTTGTCTAACGTTTTTAAAGTGACCACTTCTTTCAGAATTCCAAAGTTATGTTCCTGTGATGTTTGTAAAATGGAAAAATGCTAATTGAATGTTCTCTTAACATTTGCATAAGCAAAAAAACACAAGCAAGCAGTTTTTAGGGAGCGTTCTGTCAAGGTTCTGAACATGTTCCAGTAACGTTAATAGAATGTTTGCTCAAAGTTATCAGGTGTTTAACTCGGTTCTCTAAACGTTAGAACGCAAGCATTACTTATACATTGTTGAAATGTTTTTTTCTGAAAGGTTTTAGATGTTCATGTAACTTTTTTTTATTTTATTTCAATGTTGCCACTTGTTTCAGAACGTTCAGAGAACATTCACACGTAACGTTCCCATAATGTTTGCAAAATGATACAATGGAACGTTCCCATAAAAACATTGAAATGTTTCATGTTCAGAGAACATTGGGATCTGTTATGTGTAATGTTTTAGAGCGGGTGGATAATATACTAGTGCACAGCTGTAAGAGTGTGGTGTTTGTCCAGATGTGTTTGTGAAGCGGCGAAGGACGGCGCTCTGGTGTTCCGGGTCTCTGTTTGGACTCTCTGTTCTGGTTCTGGTGGTCGGGCTGCTGTCGGCCACGCAGACGGATAACGTGGCGGTGTCTGGATACTATCCCGGGATTATAGTGAGTGACTCCACACCGTCACTTTAATCAACTCTTTGTTTTGTCCTTTCATTGGAGCAATAAAACCGCAGTCTGTCATTATGTTGCTGAAGAAGATGGAGTCCAGACCAGTGTTGGGGAAAGTTACTTTTAAAAGCAATGCATTACAATGTTGCGTTACTCCCTAAAAAAGTAACTAATTACGTTACTTTTTATGGAAAGTAATGCGTTTCGTTACTTTTACGTTACTTTTCAAATCTGGGCAGGGCTTGCTTGTGTGTTTTAAATATAAAAAGTTCTATTTTTGGCGAATGTAAAACTTTTTCACACCAAAAGCCTCAGGCTGAAGGAAAAGTAAATTCATGTCTAACAGTAGAACGCAGAAGAAGAAAGTTCAACACTCTTCAGCAATAAAAACAGAACGAACGAATGTTGGAGTAATTTTTGCTTATTAGTATGAATTTGATCGAAGCTCAGCTGCAAAGACACTGGTTAATAAAATGGGATTAAATACATAAAGGATATTTGTATTATTTAACACATTTAATTATTGCAGGTTTGCATCATATTCTGAGTTGCATTTCAATGTTTTTATTCGTTTCGAGGAATCCTGAATTAATGCAGGTTCACATTTGGAACTAAAGTAACATCTTACGGTTTCTCAACATGGGCAC